GAAAAGGATTAAAAAATACCTTTGCATTTATTTAATCTGAAAGTACTATTTTTCATTATAGATACTGAGCGATCTCATGATGCCGCCGAGTACCACAGTTCCCAGTCTTCAAGATATGTGGAAAGCAGGAAAGCAAGTGATCGCATTCATGACTACAAATGAGTTTTCCGGGGACTCGAACGAGCTATTCTGGCCAGAAACTCGGATTATTTCACATTGGGCCAATACAACAAAAGCTGAAGAGCTCATCTGCTTCCTAAACAAGACCTCAGAGTAAGAACTCTTTTTAACTCTGAATTAGATTGCATCAAATCTCTTCGCTACTCATATTTACACTTAATTATCAATCATTGGACGTATATCGAATAAGCAAACATGTACACGCCTGTGTAGATTATCTGTTCATCGTGGATGAAAGTTTGCGAGTTGTAACCTTATTTTATATGTGCCATACAAGGGCAACAGTATGTCCTGGATATAATTCACGTGGTGCAAGAAAAGGGGTCAGATATAGCCAGCACTATTCGGAAAAAAATAATGAGCAAGTGCGTGAATTGTTCTAACTTGTAACCAACGTTTTAACTCGGGTTATATATGCCGAAGCTATCAGTGATGTTTCTAAGACTACTATGGCCACTCAAAATAATTCAAATTTAAATAAATAATTGAAGATATTAATAATTCGTAATGAATAGGGAGGCTCAGAGAATTGACAATCAGTGCTCTTGTGTAAAGAGAGATCCTGAGAGCCAAATAAAGTGCAGACGCACGTGAAATTCTGAAAGCCTTGCCGATAAAGAAGGATATGTTGGCCGTGCCTTATCCGTCTTATGCTAGGATCTATGGAATGTCACATCCAAGTCACCGACATAGTAGAAAAACTTACCCTAGCCTGACAATTAGGAGTCGTGTTGATTGTGATGCGAGTTCTCAAGTGTCAACAAGGCCTACAGCCAGCAATGAGTCAGAGTAAAACCCGAGGCTGAATTCAGGATCATTTCCGCTATGCAGTAAAGTCCTGCTTAGTGGCATTTTTTATGGATCCTTAAAATTATAGGATTCAATTTAATGAATTCT